TCTCTATCTCTCTCTTCTTCAATGACCCTCCATCAGTACCTCCCCCTTCTTCCCATTCATTTTCTTTCTCTCTCACCTCTGATCGTCATCGCTAACGCTGTACAGTCGCTCCATGATGGCGTGGGTGCTCAGCACGCTGGCAGAGTGGATCGAACTCCTCCGCTGCATCGGTGTCTCTGCCAGATAAAGGTACTTTGCACTTCTGAACTCACGCAAATACCTAACACGTATTTAACACCTCCGATCTACTCTCTATACCCATCCCAACAATATTCAGACCGTTCATATTCGAGCTCTTTCAAAAGCGGCAATTTATCTAGACGTCCGTAGTATTTGAGGGAAGTTATGTGCAAATTAACTTCTTTGAATGCAATTCCTATTATTAAACGGTGAATACGTTACCTTTAATCCTAAGATCAAATATGAGAGTAATATAGCATGCCCAGCGCAGTCGGCACACATTTTTACGCTTTTTACGTCGTGCTGTATTCGGTATCTATGAGTAAATACTAGGGCCGTGCGGATCAGCTGATGCTGATCTTACACTGACCGGGCGGCAGGGAGCTGAACTGGACGCTGTTGCGTCGGGAGAGAGTCGACTCGGGCCGACGAACCCAGAAACCTCCATCGAACTGCGCAGACGGCTGTTCCTGGAACAACGTGCCGAGAAAACCTCAAGAGCGAGCCACTCAGAATGGTTCAGACTAAAGCTTAGCAGATTCGAGTTCAAAATCAGCAAAGGGAGGCTTGCTAAAGAACAATGGAATTTGAATTCAAGATGACAGCTTTGATCAAGACATGACTAAATGACACAGAGAATGCTATCCTTCCCATTCGCCACTCTTTCCTCTTTTCCTCCTACCCTCACTCTCCACTCCCTCTCTTCCCTCTTCCCCCTCTCTCTCTCGTTCTCCCTCCCCCTCTCTCTTTCTTTCTCTCTCTCTCTCTCTCTCTCTCTCTCTCTCTCTCTCTCTCTCTCTCTCTCTCTCTCTCTCTCTCTCTCTCTCTCTCTCTCTCTCTCCCTCTCTCAGGTCTCTCTCTCAGGTCTCTCTCTCCTCTCTCTCCTCTCTCTCTCTCTCTTTCTCTCTCACTCCTTCGCTCCTTCCCTTCCCTCCACTTCTTCTCCCCTTTCCCATTCCCTCCCTACCTTCCTCCCTACCTCCGTGAAATGGAGACTATGGACTGGCGGTGGGCGCTTAGCGCTGCCTGCGGGCCGCAGTAGCCCCGCAGGCGATTGATCGAGTCGAAATGGTTCACTATTGCCGTTCGCAGCTGCGGACTCTGCTCCTCGTCTTGCTGCCAAAAAAAGGTTGCTTGATGAAAAGTGTTCGTACAATTCGGTACAACTTTTCGAAGTGGTACAATTATTTCTCTGTAGCTGCATATGCAACGGATACAAACAAACTCACAGTACACTAACGTCTAACACTAAGTCTCATTAACTGGAATGACCTACGATGAATATTCACAAATTAACAACACATTGAGTGACATGCAAAATCACCGAAAGCAGACAGCCAGCACTCAAAGTATTGGTAAAAGTTCTCTAAAACCACCCACCAGCACTTTGGCGTCGACGAAGCAGGTGAACCCGTCCCTGCCCTGGTGCATGTACTCCTTGGTGGCCACCTTGTACAGCTGATCCGGCTGTATGAACATGTCGCCCACCTTCACAAGCCTGCGCGCGGAGGGACAGCACCGTTAGGAACGTCGTGGGGGTCAACAACATCACATTCGTGCATTACAATCGGCGCTGTCTTTGCCGGCCTCGTTCGCAATTTCGTAGGGTTGGGGAGACGGCAGAGCACCTCATATGATCGCCTCGTTTTTTTTTTCCGCTAGCGTTAATTTATTACAAAATTAGCCTTTCCTGATAGAATGCCCGCTATGATATCCTTCCTTCCCCGTCCGTCTTATCACCCGTTTCCGATTGCTTCTGACCTGTGTGCGCTCGCTGTGTCTCACCTGGGATCCACCCGCTGTCCGGGCGGCTTGTCCGGGTCAAAGACAAAGGACATGCCGGACACCTGGGGGAACCTGCCCGCCAGCCGGGGGTACATGGAGACAGAGTTCTCCACCGCCTCACACAGCACGGCGCCTGAAGGCACACGGATAAGTTGGTAGTGCAGAGATCGGGGAACCCCGGACCAGCGACTGAGAAAGACTGAGAACATTTGAGTTACGGCTTCGTATGATGTTTCGTATGTCCGTTCATATGTTCTTTGCTGGTATAGGAAACAAGATGGCATGTCAAATGTAATCAATCCATGTCAGAATTGGTGAATGTGCCAAGTCTAGGAACAGCATGGATTGAGTTTGGTGCCGTTTGGACTAATCTGTGTAACATTTGACCTGACCGGTGACCTCCCCAGACTAACCTGTGACGTGCAGCAGGCAGAGGCCATCCATGAATGGAGCTATGGTGACCAGATCTCGCATGGTGAAGTCACCAGCTGGGTGGACCCGGTCACTCCGCAGGGTGCCCGAGTTGAGGATGACGCAGTCGGCATTCATGGCAGCTGGGAGAGAGAGGGGGAGCCGTCAGTGCAGTATAGACACAAAACCCATATTTTAAGCTGTAAAAGGCAGAGATCAAATCAAAATGAAATAAACACAGCTTTATTTGACATGTTATCGGTAGCATTCCTTTTAACAGAAACATGCTTCATAGTCATGTTTTTGTTTTGTTTTATCGCCAGAATCTCTGGGAGGATTGTTACTTACCGAGAATGACGTCCGCACAGAAATTGCCCAGGTTCGTTTCCTCTGAGCGAACCTTGCTGAAGCGACCCTCCAAGTCGACTTCAAAATGGCCGACAACATCCTCTAGCTTCGTCTCCGACATGTCTGCAAAATAACACAGGTAAACGGTTCGGGATGTTCAAATGACAATTGCTGGAGAGCAAAAACTTTTTCGTGGGCAGCAGCATACATCGAAACTTCGTTAATAGGCTAACACCATTCGCTTGAAAAAAAACACTACTAGAAGCGCTTTTACACAGTTAAATTGTATTCGCACGTAAGCCCCACGCCGATAATTACCGATGAAGGGCTGCAGATCCTCCTTGAGTTTGGCGTCCTCCTCGTACTGTGCGGTGACCTCTATCCGCTGAACGGTGTGGGTCCACCCGCCTCTCGGCAGGTGGGTCAGCTCCAGTACAGAGAACTCCCGAAAATCGGTACCCGACTTGATCAGAGCGCACTTCGAGTCTGGCGCCTGTCGGTTACGAGAGAAAGACAGCCAAACGATGTTATTTAAATTCGACATAAGCAATTCACAGATTTCCCTATTTTGCTCATAGCGCATCACTCACCGTATGAATTTCGTAGTCGTGATCGTGGCCGCCCAGGATCAGGTCGATGCCTTCTGACTCTCTCAGCAGCCGCAGGTCGTTGAAGGTCCGCATATGAGTTAGAGCGATCACCAGCTCACAGCCCTGCAGGCCGGCACATCAGCCACTCAGTCTCACACAAACTGAGCTGGCACATCAGCCACGCTCAAATATTGGGTATGAACGGTTTGCAGTTCTCATGTGACCCCACTATGTGTCAATCTGGAACACAACTATAAGAAACATCAGAATTGTAGAATTGTCGATTTTGTCAGGATGTTAGATTTTCTAAGCCACTCCATCGGCACATTATCCACCTGGTGTAGGCCTTGTTGTGATGACCACCTATTGTAGGTATCTGGGAATAGTCATCGGAAACACTTCAAAGTGGGATGGACGATAATTCATCGGCGCGATGTCAAACATTATGATAGGTGATGTTAGAAGATATGATAGAAGATTTTCAAGTACCGTGCCTCCGTAGGCATATCGGGTTACTCGACATGAGAGGACTCTCTGGCTCTTATTCTTATCATGGTAGAAGGAAATCAAATACGGCTGATAGGAATTGGCGCAGTAGATGTATGCTACTGAGAGCTGGACAATGGACATGCGGTGCCAATACGGCCTGCTTTTACTTATGTATATGTATACTTATGTATGTATATGTATACTTATGTATGCTTATGTTTAAGCAATCAGTAGTTCGAAGAAATGACAAGGTCTGTTGAGCGTGTCCTATCATGACAGCAAATCTACAAACAGCGCCCGCTGCGCACAATGGGTCTGAGAGTTATCATGAAAAGAAACAACAAATGCAGAGGGGTTTTACAATGGCGCAGCAAAGAAACAAGTTCTGATGACATACATGCGGGTTTTTCACTTTAGCAAATAAACATCGAATCATCAAATGAAAGCATCACATCAAATTGACCTACGGGTTCAGTTAAGGAGCCTTCTGGATGTTGGTAGCGTTTAATGTTCGTTTCCGTTGGTGTCGAGTTTAAGCACCCGTTCAGAAAATCATCTTTCAAATATCGTAAGAATAAGTGTTTACCTCACTCCGTAGTTTCGCAGCCAGCTTGTTACCCATCTCCACATAGTCTATGTATTGTACTTCGTCAGGATTGATGGTAGACAGGGTCTCCAGCCATTCGTATTCCACCAGACCCATCTAGAAATGAAGGAGAAAGAGGCAAACATCAGCGTCGAGGGTCTTCTCCATTCGCATAAAAAGGTGCACTCCATTATAAGAAATTAAGGCATCTGATGCATGTTTTAATGGTGTTATCAGAGCCGTAGAAATATAAAGTTAGAATATTATAACCCAGCAAGCTATAGGTGCTTAAACAACATTTGACCCTTATTCTTCTTCTTATTATTTTTTTATTCATCCGGTAAAAGGATATAAGCTTACCAGAATTACCAGGAAGGCAACGACCTAATCTTTCTGAACGCAGGCATATCATAAATTAACGTTCCCCAGACTGCACCGACGGACTCACGAAGCCGAGTTTGATGCCGTTCCAGCGCGTGACGTAGGTGATGCGTCCCTCAGCCAGGGGCCGCTGCGTCTCCATGTTCCGAACGTTGGAGAGCAGCCAGGGAAACGACGTCTCCGCCGTCAGAGCCATGCACGAGTCCAGACCGAAATCTGAAACACGGCCGTCAAATATGAGTCAAAACGGTACAAACAGACCGAGCCAAACTCCTAAAAACCGGCCGTCAAACAGACGTTCAGTTGGAATCATACCTATACATTAGTCTAAACCATACACCTGGAACAGTCACTAAGGTCAAACCATGTGATGAGAAGTCCTAGAAACGTAGGGCCATTTATCATTCATAATGTTGGATAAGAATAAAGGAACGAATTTGCTGAGACCTTTTTTGCACCAAGCTATTGAAGAAATCTGGTCACGTCTAAAATGACGGTTAGAAAAAATGCAGCAGATCGGCTAATTCATTAAAGAGCAACTGAAGAGCATTGCTTACCGAAGTCGTGATTCCCATACACTGCTACGTGCACTTCAAGGCGATTTAGAACAGGAATCATATGGTCGCCCCGAGCAAACGTGCTCACTGAAACAAACCAATGTGCGTTGTCATCGGACAATCAGGCATTTGCGGTCGTAGTGAGTATAGAGCGGCATGTCATCTTTATCCATGATATGTAAAATTCAAACATAATGTTTTGATAAACATGAACGAGCCAATTCATCTGTCATCATATCAAGTAAAGGAAGCAAAAAAGGTGAGCAATGAATCTCAAACAAAATATATGGTCTTAGCTTCTCACCACAACAGCGTTGATATAAAGTGCAAATACTTACGGAGACTGGGACTGAATATGTCTCCACTGAAGACGACCATCGGGTTCAGATGTCGGAACTTTTCTACAGCTGTCACAAACCGGGCGGCACCGCCAACCTACGGCAAATATTGGTTACATTTGTCATAAAATGATTGATCAGCTTGCGGAAGGATGCTATCCTAAAGCTGTAATCAAAATATGAATTTAACCGGGAGGCAAAATTAAAAAGGCTGTACTGGAAATGAAAGAGCTTACAAACAAGCGAACATTTGGCTTGAATGGCTTCGCATTTTAGGTATACGCATACCAAGGTGCCTCACTTTGTATATGCTTGCACTAAGCGTGCCCATGTAACCCTTTCTGAAATGACCGAATCTTGCTCAATTTTAGTCAAATTTAGTGAGCGAAAATAAATGTAAGACAAAAGGCCGGTGCTTCTCGGCGCATTTTTAGATATATGTCATGGGAAACTGAGGACGGGGAAGCTGACTTGGCCCGGCAACAACGCGCGCTACACGGGCAAGCTTTGGAATGAATATCGAAACAAAATAGGTATTAGCCGTTTTTACGACGGCGCTTAAAACAGTGAAATAAATTCACAATATGAACATGATATTTACTGTAAGAGAGATTAGGTGCGGATTTGGTCAAATTAGGCGCATTCGCCACATAGCCCGTCGTGAAAACGGCTATTATCACTCACCGGTTCCTGATTCGATGACTCGACATTGTACACATCGTTGAAGTGTACAATGGTAAGTTGTTTGTCGCCCATGGAGAAATGTGGGTGCCTGAATCCGCCGTAGTCAGCTGAAACAGATGTGAGAAAGGGTCGTGTTATGTACTCTAACACTAAGGTTATAGTTAGACGGTCATTATAGTTAGGTCAAAGTTAGACACTATACATAAACAGCGCATCTTTAGAGAAACAACCGGGCAGAAAATGAGTTACTGAGGGTGCTTCATTCGCATCAGCTATCGCAAGTATTCCGCATGACTTTGAGAAATAAGATGAACGCCTGCGACTCAGCCTAACATGGGGTGATTGAAATTAAGAGCGTAACAACAAACCTGTTTGGCAGTCCTCCGATATGCCATCTTCGGTAAAAGATACTTGAGCTGTGCCATACTCCATGACAATGGTATTTCAATTTCAAGTTTTTCCTTGCATTTTTCCCAAAAGTATTGTAAATGCATTATATATTCATGTGAGTTAACCGTTATGTACCGATCTTTGAAGGCAATGTTTTTAGACCATAAACGCCAGATTTGTCGCAGGTTTCTTGTGTTTTCCTTGAAATTTTCATTTTTTGACACAGACAGGTCATTGACTTACACATTAGGCTCTTTCACTTTAATATGCCTATTCGATAAGATTCGATTGAAAAGTACCTATGCTGAAATATCTAAAAGGCTAATATTGTTATAGAATTGTTATAATAAGCTCCTCCCACTTCAAACGAAAAGCAATATTATAGTGGTCAATGGTCATCCGTCTAAGACGAGTTTTCCCAGAATTGTAATGCCGTTTACCGATTAAAATCGGTCCTACGGTTCTGGTGATATAAAGACCGACCAACTCACGTCCTGACCTACAGTAAGCCCGCAATGATGTCTAGAGGGAGTGCTCACCTGTCACCAAGCGCCCTGCTTGGCTCTCCGATGCACTCTCACCCGCAGACTGAGTTGGAGTGAGTGAGTGAAAGGCAGAGCGATGGAGAGGGAGCCTCTTGGCGCCCTCCGATCGGCACCGCGGCGCGATCAGCACTGAGCCTCTCTCATGAAGCCGTGACCGGCCCACTCCATCGCGCGGCCCGCCGGGCGGAGATATGACGGTCGGCTCTCTCCCTCTGCCCTTATCACCCTCCGGTCCTCTGCCTCTCTCTTCCATTACGCTCTCTCACTTTTCCTCTCTATCTCTTTCCCCTGATTTTACAATCACCAAGTCTTTCTCTCCCGCAAAACAGTCTCACCTTTCTTTCAATATTTTTTTCTCTTTCTCCCTCTCTCTCTCGCTCTCTCTCTCTCTCTCTCTCTCTCTCTCTCTCTCTCTCTCTCTCTCTCTCTCTCTCTCTCTCTCTCTCTCTCTCTCTCTCTCTCTCTCTCTCTCTCTCTCTCTCTCTCTCTCTCTCTCTCTCCACTCCTCACTGCGTTCTTGCAGGCTGCAGCCCTCCATTCATCTCCCTCCATCCTCCACCGGACCCTACTGACCACTCTGCCTCGGCGGCCACTCGACCTGCAGGGTCACCAACCTCGCCCGATGGAGCGGCACGTCGGACCGACTGCCCTGCACCGGCTGCAGTCCGTTACACGGGCAAACAATTACGGCCGGGCGGGGAGCCGGGCCACGCCACCGGTCATTGCAGATGACTGGACTCCGAACGGGCCCCGTCAATGGGCTACTGTCTCTGATGTGGAGCCCGAAATCATACCACCAGCTGCTGACCGCGATACTGTAGTCCAGCTGCCGTGGCATTGATTCAAATGATCGGAGGCTGGCTGTAGTGTTTCGTCTAGCTATAAAATTGGCTGTGCTAACATGCAGAAAGTCAGAGCGCCCACTATAGCAAACATGCTATAGTGAAAATGTAGGCACTGAGGACGACTTAAAGTATGCTTATCAGTGCAAGGCGTATGGCCGACTTCCTTAGAACTTAAAGGATATCCGCATGCGATTGTGATAATTTCCGCTCGTATTCTTGCTATCGGCCTCCGCAGGATACAGTGTCACGGCACAGTGGGGTCAGAGCTGTGACTGCGATCATTTGAACTGCATTACGTGTTACTCAATTGGCAACAGGTATCAACTAACATGCCTTTTTTATTCGAAGACGTAACGAATTCGGTTTGTATCTATTTGGTGTGTAAGACTTGAGACAAAAATATACCTATACGTAACCTGACATGTACACATGGTTGGTGCATGGTGCATGGTCGTACAGAGCTCAATGTAACTGGGCTCTAAAAATGTGTTTTTAACCATAAATATCATTGCAATGCAACAGATTCAGAAAGGTTCAACCACTATCCCAGCTCATCCCCATACCACACGCACTGGCAGATCCAAACAGGCGGTCTTGGACGCTGTGTGTTTGTGTGTGTGTGTGGGGGGGGGGGGGGGCATACCCCAAAAAAGTTTTTTCCATATTCCAAAACTCCTCGGATTTCGATTCCTTACGCACCGCTGTGCAGTTTAAAACAAACTTTCGCATAACAGTTCATCACTTTTTGTTTTATTCTCAGAAAACCGCAAGTTTTCGTCGATTTCGGGGGCTGTATGGGGGAGGGGTATTTGCCCCAAATGCCTCCCCCCGAATCTACCAATGACCATACAACACTGTATTCCAATGCACATCGTGGAATGACCTAGAGGATTCCAAGAAATCGACACGTTTGGTTCAGTATTACATAACTATGTAGATAGCACTGGTATTTGGAAACAGCTTAATTCGCATAAGATAAGACCCCACTTATACCACTGTCTCCGAAAAGAACGCACATGGGCAAGAAATTACGGCTAAGGCATAGGTCATACCCACTAATTTGAAACGCAAACTCACCATCCTACGCACTTGCGCAAGCAACTATCAATTCTACGGACGCTTATTTCCAATTCATGAACGCCTTCATCTAGTCATCCATAATAAGGTCAATGATGCATCTCACATGCCTCTCCCTTGTGAACAAGTAGCGGCGAAAGCACGTCTATTCATTCACGCGTTTCAGTGTCTTATGGAATGCATTTACAAATAGCGCGATGCCTATCGATAAAGTCGGAAGAGACAAACGAACGAAGGAAAGGCATGCATAGTTAGAATTAAAGCATTCGGCGACAAAGGACAATGCTGCTCACGTTTCTCTAATTTCCCAAAGATGCATCTAAAGTGCGTGAAACCACTGCGTTTGTGGTGGACCGGAATTTCGTGAAACTACAGAACGAGAACGGACCGCATTGGGAGCCTATGGCATGAAAGAAAACATAATTACATACTCGTACGTGGTTTACGTTTACCTACGTTGTTAACGACCGAGACTCCGAGTTCTTGTTCCAAATGATATTTATTCACTTTCGATGATAACACAAAAACAAATATTCTAAATAGCCAGACGTTTCGGCCTCAGGGTGCCTTCGTCAGTGACAATACCGAGATACTAATACATTAATAAATTAATCAATATAATCTTTTACACTTTCAAAATACACATGACCTGGACATTTTTCAACCATTCTGTTGGTTGGCAGAATGGTTGAAAAATGTCCAGGTCATGTGTATTTTGAAAGTGTAAAAGATTATATTGATTAATTTATTAATGTATTAGTATCTCGGTATTGTCACTGACGAAGGCACCCTGAGGCCGAAACGTCTGGCTATTTAGAATATTTGTTTTTGTGTTATCATCGAAAGTGAATAAATATCACAATGTCTGACGTGTCAGACATTGTCTTGTCTGGTTTGGAACAAGATGTATCGTGTACGATACATCTTGTTCCAAACCAGACAACATTTGTTTTACCTGACTTGGCTCGTCTCGTTGTAATGAAGGTATGGGAGTAGAGCGATGTGTTGCAACCGTTACAACCAAGTCGGCCTTCAAAAGCGTGAAACATAATGCCATGTGCTTAGGTTGTAACGTGTGGTCAATATATGGAGGGCAGGGGCAGCGCTGGCATTGATTATACATCGCATGGGAGGCGGGCCGCTACGAAATGGTGGGTGGGGCGCAGCCAGGAATTCAGCTGGACGTATTGGGGCGGAAGCAAACATACCACAAGGGATACCAAGATAGAAAATAAGACTGTAAGATAATTATATAGGTATCTGACTTTGTTCTCCTTTTGAGGTCCAAATTACATATTTTAAAAGATGTATAATCAATGAATAAGATTTGCTGGCGCAAAATAAACGTTTTATCAGTTTCAGCGATGCAGCGAAGCTTGTAATAAGATTGCATGCAAATTGCTTTTATAAAATGAACACAATACAGCACATGCTTGTATCTAGAGTATTATAATGCCGGATATATACATAGCCCAAAAGGTTGAACGACTCACAACTTTCACTCACCTTTCGGTGTAATCCAGCGGGTCGTCTGTTGGTCTGACAACTCTCAATGGTTTCAGTGTTGTCACTGACAGTCACACCCGAGCAGCCACATCGACAAGAGCTGACCCGTTCCACCCCAGTGACGGTTTTCGTCGGACGGACCCGACCTCAGAGCAGCGCGCCCGGTCGCTCGATCCTGCCACTGCAGCCCTCAGCTGAGCGCAGTGGCGACGGCGACAACCCCCCCCCCCCCCAGCTGGGGAATTTGGCAGCCGCCCCGCCGGTCGACGCCCGTCGACGGTCTGCCGTCGGTGACGGTACGCGTACCGTCACTCGAGAGAGTCGACGGGACAGGTGATGGAGCGGCGCCGGTCACCGGTCGCAGGGCTCCTCGGTACGCAATGCATACCACGGCACACACCTGACAGCATGGCAGCTCGCGCAGAGCGGCCGGGCGCCGCACATGCCACTGTGCGCCTCCGATTTCGCCCCTCTCTCCGCAACAGCTCCACTTGGGTGATGGGATGAGGGAATGACGGTACAGCCTGTTAGCACGTAAATCAAGGAGCATTGAAAGCGTGGGAGGGTGGAAAGTTAGTATTTGCTGCACGACGTAATAATATGCATAGCTATGTTTTTTTTTTTTCCTTAGCTGCTCAATTTCAAATAATTCTAGACTATGATCCTTTTTTTAGTTCCCGAAGCAATGTAAATTGAAAACAAACGGATGGCTTTTTATTTGGGCACATTGATTAGTCTTTTTATGCTAAAAGTAAAACTAGTTTTACGACCTATATTCGCCACTGCGGTGCAGTGGCGGGAAATCCGCAACCAGAAAAGGCGCGGAAATTGATGATAGCTGATTTGCCGGCTTGGCTGGACGCTGGTCATAAGGGCACATATGGCATGAAAAGGCATTTCTAAGGACGTTGTTATACTCCATGTATATTTGAACAGCGGAAAATTCAGATGATATGGAAGAAAAATATAGATATAATATAATCGCTGGTACATATTTTCATGAAAATCGCGTTCAATGAATAAAATGAAGCATTGTATGTATAGGTAACAGTAATGCTTTAATGTTGTAGATCGACTATGCAATATGCGTGATAAGGGAAAAGCTATAGTCAGTAAAAAAAAAACGCTCCTCGGGATTCGTTGAATTTTTCCTCGAGGATCGCGCTGGGGGTAAGGAAGCATATTCGATTTTTTCAGACTGTTCGGAAATGGTGCCGAGGCCGACTGCCGAGTA